GCTGCCACAAGGTAATGGTCCGAATCCATATTCGCTCCTCGTATCGATCGAACGTCTAATACACTGGATGAATGCATTCCGTCTATCACAAACATGATCGATTTGATTTCTCGTTGTTCGATCGGGAGAAATCCAAGTGGCTTTGTGTATATCGAGATGCTTGAATCTGGTGCTGCTAACTACCATATTTTTTGCTGCCGCGAAGTCAATCAACCTCATGCCGTTGTCGGATGTTTCTTCATGGAGGCTGAATTTTCCGACGGTGGGTCCAAAGATATTTTCCCTTCCGATTTTTGCATTAAAATCTCCTAGCAGATTTTTAATGTCATGGCCAGGGCAGCGATCATATGCTGTTTCTAGGTACTCATAAAATATGTCTTTGGTCTGCTCATCTTTGTCTTCGGTCGCAGCATGGGCGTAAATAAGACTGATGTAGAAGAACTTCGCTTTTATGCGGATTATAGCAATTCGCTCATTTACTGGAGTGAATCTGGACACAAGGTCTTTTATTCTCCTCTTAATCATAAATCCGCAGCCAAAATCACTTCTCGTTTCATGGCTGCTATAATACAGGGCGTAATCGTCTGATTTACTTACGCCGGTCCCTTTCCATCGCATTTTCTGTAAGGCAATTATATCGGCTTTGTACTTCTTGAGTGCATCCACCAAAGCGAAAAGTGCGCCTTTCTATACAAGGTGCGCACATTCCAAGTGCAGATTCGCAGAACGTGGTCCTTTATACGTTTGCGGGGGTCGTCAACATTAGGGGGGTTTAGTTTTCTTTTTCATTGCTTTCTTAGGTTTCTTAGGTCGTAGGGGTTTTCCGAGTGTGGACAACTAACCCGACGCCTCAACCCATTTTTTATAGTTCTTATGGATGAACTCGCGGCACATATTAGCTCACTATTTCAACGGGTGATGAAAATAGCTACCGAAGGTGACACCACGGGGAGGTCAGTGTCCACAATTGAGATGAAAGAGAGACCAATATAAGCCTGGACTTCGCCATGTTATTTTCAATAAATCCACGCCTGTATTAGTCATTGGAAAATAATTTTTAATAAACCCATGTCTCTATTAGTCCTAGAATAAATATTTTTAATTCCACGCCTCAGTTGGCCCTTGAAAAAATATTCTTCTTCTTGTTGGCCCTTGAAAAAATATTCTTTAATAAATCCACTGTAGCAATCACTGTTCCTTCCGTTTTATATTAATTTAAATGCCAATAGAGTGTTCGCATTTGGTTTCGATAGCATCCTATTCTTTTGCCAAGACAAGTCCTTAAGTATGTCAGACTTAGAGGAGAACGAACGGCTATTCAATGGAACCATGAACGAGTAGACATTATCAAATTGTCATGCCTGAAGATAAAGTATTTGTTGTGTAAAATGAAAAGCGGGTGAGGGTGTCGAATATCAACACACACACATACATACACTCATACACCCATAGAAACAGACGCACACCATTACAGCAAAACATTTTCCACATCATTAGTTATGTCAAATGCAACAAATGTTCATGATCATCATCAGCAACTCGGCAGCAATGGCAACTATGAAACGCGCAACAGGAACCAAGTCAGTGTAAAGGCAGCAGTTACAACAGCATCAGCAATAGTAGTAGTACTTGATGTTGTTGTTGTCGTTGTAACAAACTATGGACTGGTATTAAACAACTTGCAGTCAATTGTATTGCACACAAATCGTGTTGCATGATATCACACCGACCAACCAAGCAATTTTCACAAAAATGAAGCGGAAAATAGATGGGTGCCGTTGCAACAGGGAGGCAAACGAACAACCAAACACAAAAAGAAAGTGGGAAAACAACAGTGAAATATTGGAAATTTTATACTTAAATGGGGCCATGTCAAATGAAAAGAATAATCATCGTACAACGTGCCGTCGATGATGTTGCCACTGCTACTGATGCCGATATGATGACGACGACAATGATGCTGATGCGGAAACATACACAACCAAACACAACAACAACAAACAAACAATCTCGTTATAGATGCAACATTACGCATCCAATTGAACTGTTTCATATTCGAAAATTAATCATTTTTGCTTCATGAATCATTGCAAGGACATCAGCAATGATGCTGCTGCTACTGGTGTTGCATAATACAAAATTGCTATGTATGCGTATGTTTGTTTGTGTGTGTGTGTATGTGTACATCAAATGTAGCATTGCATAAACAATTTTGATATTTTCGAAATTAATCATTTTTGATTTATGCGCTGGAAACTGGAGGAAAAATATCAAAGCTAGCAGCGGACAGCAAAAACACAAACAACAACGAAAATAGATTGCCATGCAATTGCATTAAACAATTTGCAATTAAATTTGTGCAAGGCAAATAGGATTTAAAGCGATGTAGTTTTTCTATCATCCATCATCAGCATTTTGGGATTATTTGCACTCTAAGACAAATTGTTAAAAAACGACTTTAATAAATCCATGCCTCAGTTGGCCCTTGAAAAATATTCTTTAATAAATCCATGCCTCAGTTGGCCCTTGAAAAATATTCTTTAATAAATCCATGCCTCAGTTGGCCCTTGAAAAATATTCTTTAATAAATCCATGCCTCAGTTGGCCCTTGAAAAATATTCTTTAATAAATCCACGCCTCAGTTGGCCCTTGAAAAAGATTCTTTAATAAATCCACGCCTGTGTTGGTCCTTGAAAAACTATTTTTAATAAATCCACGCCTGTGTTGGTCCTTGAAAAACTATTTTTAATAAATCCACGCCTGTGTTGGTCCTTGAAAAACTATTTTTAATAAATCCACGCCTGTGTTGGTCCTTGAAAAAAATATTCTTTAATAAATCCACGCCTGTGTTGGTCCTTGAAAAAAATATTCTTTAATAAATCCACGCCTGTGTTTGTCCTTGAAAAACAATTTTTAATAAATCCACGCCTGTGTTGGTCCTTGAAAAACAATTTTTAATAAATCCACGCCTGTGTTGGTCCTTGATAAACAATTTTTAATAAATCAACGCCTGTATTAGTCCTTGAAAAAAATATTTATACCATTCACCACACTGTGGTACAGGGTATTATATCTTTGTACATATGTTTGTTAGAGGCAAAAGGAAACGAGATAAACACATGGTTCCTTTTGAAAAAATACATAGAATCACTTTCTGAGTCAATTTACGCATGTCCGTCTGTCTGTCCGTCCATGTATTTTTGTGAACAAAGTACTGGTCGCATTTATGATCCGTTTTGGATGAAATTTGGCATATGTCATTTATTTGGCCCAAGGACGAACCTTATTGAAATTGGGAAAAATCGGTTCAGATTTACATATAGCTCCCATATATATTTTCGTCCGATTTATAGTAAATGGTGCACCAAATTCCCTATATATCATTCGATTTGCACGAAATTTGGCACAGCGTACGGAATTAAGCCGAGAGTGATGTGTGCAAAGTTTTGTTAAAATCGGTTCAGATTTAGATACAACTCCCATATATATTTTCGTCCGAACTATTAGACATGATGCACCAAAGTCCCTATATATCTTTCGATTTGCACGATATTTGGCAAAGGGTACTAAATTCAGTGTAAAATGATGAAATCGTGAAAATCGGTTCAGTTTTAGATATAGCCCCCATATATAGTTTCACCCGATTTTAGGTAAATGGTGCACCAAAGTCCCAATATATATTTTGATTTGAACGAAATTCGGCATAGGGTACAGAATTGGGTTTAGAGTGATGCATGCTAAGTTTCATGAAAATCGGTTCAGATTTAGATATAACTCCCATATATAGTTTCGTCCGATTTTAGGGAAGAGGTGCACCAAATCCCAATATATATTTCGATTTGAAGGAAATTTAGCATAGGGTACTGAATTGGGTTTAGCGTGATGTATGTGTGCAAAGTTTTCTTTAATATATCCCATATATAGTTTCGCCCGATTTTAGGTAAATGGTGCACCAAAGTCCCTATATATATTTTTCGATTTGCACGAAATTTGGTATATGGTACTAAATTGGGTTTATGCATGTTTCCAAAGATATAGCTCCTATATATTTCGCCCGATTTTAGCACTGGTTGACACGAAACGTATCAACATGAGACTAGAAAGACGTTATAGCTTTTTTAATGCAGACACAATCGGGTATCTAATTGGGATTAAATTTACGTAAATAAAATCGATTTACATAAATTTGTCCCATTATATGCAAACGATTGTAAACTTGCCCGAATGAAATGAAATTTAGCATAGGTTCCAGATCACATATTCAAGTTTGTTCAATGTCATGTGAATGTTCTTTCGAAAAGGCGGAGTCCGTTAGGAGACATATGTAGAATATACCCAAAGTGGTGAAGGGTATCATATAGTCGGCCCCGTCCGACATTACTACTTTCCTTACTGTTTTTAATATACATATGATAGTCCATCAAACAATATTTTCAATACATCCAATACAATATTTGTAATAAAGTTCATAACATTTCATGAATGATGATTACATTTATCCCGATTGCATTCAAGAAAGTTCCATTTATCAACAACCAAAGAGATGCAACGAATGTTTTATTACAAATATTCAATATAACAAATTATTATTATTGTTGTTCAAAAGTATCCCTTTATGGCAATCACAATATTTCACTTCATACTTCATCACATTCTTCAAATATGATAAAAAAAATAAAATCTGTGTAAAAACTACACTCCACGAAACGACGACGCCATGTAACATCTATAAAATAAGGCTGCTGATTCTCATGCTACTACTGATGATGATGATGCTTTCAATATTTTGTTGCAATCAATATTCCAATCGAGTCTTCAATGGTGCCGTAACTACTAGTACTGCTGCTCCTGCTGTCATATCATATGTTTTATTAACAACTTCCGGTGTTATTCCCTTACGTTACACTTCAATATCTTACGTAGTCTTTTTTTGAAATCAAATACTTACATATATTTCATTCTTACGTTCTTCTCCTTTCTCTTTCTCCCTTTGGTTACAGTTGCAGCGAAGGTCGCGTCATGTCGGCCGATAGCAAAGGTTGTGTGGATCGCAATGAATGTCTGGATATGCCCTGCCTGAATGGCGCCACATGCATAAATCTGGAGCCACGTCTACGTTATCGTTGCATATGTCCGGAAGGTTATTGGGGTGAAAATTGTGAACTGGTGCAGGAAGGTCAAAGACTAAAGTTAAGCATGGGTGCATTAGGTGCCATCTTTGTGTGTCTTATTATCATTTTAAGTAAGTATCAAATCGCACACACACAGACCCACACACTCATACAATTACAAATACATACAAATTGAATGTGATGACTATGAATATATATTTTTTGTTCGTTCGTTTTTTGATTTGTTTATGGTAAGAAAAGCTAAAAGGAGGTAAGTATGGATAGCCCATGAAAAATTATTCAAAAATCACGATTTTTTTTTTGCAAAATCGTCGCCCATCGATAGCCCCTGAAAAATTATTTACAAATATCAAAAAATTTTTTTTTTAATTCATGCCCATGGATACAAAAACTCACAGAAATTTTTTTTTTTTTGGAATATTTACGCCCATGAAAAATAATTCAAAAAATCATAAAAAAATATTTTTGAAAAATCCATGCCCATAGATAGCCCATGGAAAATTATTCAAAAATCACGAAAAAATATTTTTTAAAAAATCCACGCCCATGGATAGCCCATGAAAAATTATTCAAAAATTAAGATTTTTTTTTTTTTTTTTTTTTTTTTGAAAAATACACGCCTTTGGATAGCCCATGAAAAAAAAAACCACGAATATATAGTTCTTAAAAAATCCGCGCCCATAGATAGACCATTAAAATTATTTAAAAAAATCACAAAAAAATATTTTTAAAAAATCCACGCCTATGGATAGCCCATTAAAAATTATTCAAAAAAATCACGAAAATATATTTTTTGAAACATCCTCGCCATGGATAGCTTATGAAAAATTATTTAAAAAAACTCACAAAAAAATATTTCTGAAAAATCTACGCTCATGGATAGCCCATGAAAAATTATTCAAAAATCACGAAAAAAACGTTTTTTTGAAAAATCCACGCCTTTGGATACCTCATGAAAAATTATTCTAAAAATCACGAAAAAATATTTTTGAAAACCCCCCCACTATGGATAGCCCATAAAAAATTGTTAAAAAATAAAAAAAAAAAAAATATTTTTTAAAAATCCACGGCCATGGATAGCCCATGAAAATTTGTTCAAAAAAAAAAAAAATTAATTTCGATAAATCCACGCCAATGAAAAATTATTTAAAAAAATCACAAAAAAAAATATTTTTGAAAAAATCTAAACCCATGGATAGCCCATGAAAAATTATTAAAAAAAATCACGAAAAAATATTTTTGAAAAATCCACGCCCATGGATAGCCCATGAAAAATTATTCAAAAATCACGAAAAAATATTTTTGAAAAATCCACTTCCATGGATAGCCCATGAAAAATTATTCAAAAATCACGAAAAAATATTTTTGAAAAATCCACTTCCTTTGGATACCTCATGAAAAATTATTAAAAAAAATCACAAAAAAAATATTTTTGAAAAATCCACGCCTATGGATATTCCATTAAAAATTATTCAAAAAATCACAAAAATGTATTTAAAAAATCCACGCCCATGGATAGCCCATGAAAAATTATTCAAAAAATCACAAAAAAATATTTTTGAAAAATCCACGCCCATGAAAAATTATTCAAAAAATCACAAAAAATATTTTTGAAAAATCCACGCCTATATATAGCGCCTGGTACTTGTTCAATTTATGAGACATTATACACTACTTCTTTGTTTGTGACTTACTTTTTTCCAAATTTTAAATAAAAAAAAAAAACACAATTCTTGTTTTTTTTCTAATAGCATATGATTTCTTTTAATAATGTATGTTTTTTTTATTATTGTTTGTTCCACCATCTGCTCCATTATGTGATAGGTTTTATTTTGTAATTTCTTGTAACTCTGTTTGCATTCACAACGATTCCCCTGCCAATTTGCTGCAATGAAAAAAAACAAATTTTAATTATTATTTAATTATTTTTATTATTGATTTATTTATTATTTATTATTTAAATAATTTCTGGTCAAAAAAAATACATTAATAAAGTGAATATTGGTACTAAAACTTTAAACAAAATGTTTTTTGTTTTTATTTCAAAATATCCAATGATAAGCTGACCATACGTGCCTTTTTTTAGAGGACAATATTCTATTTTATATTTTGAGTTGTAATTAGATAACAAATGTCCATAAAAATATATTAATTATTAAATGTTGTAGTGGCTGTTAGGGCCCTGGACACGTTTTACGTTCGAATTGGCTGTAATTTGATATTTCGGGTTCTGTTTCTTGGTAGCCCCAATATAAAAAATAGTCCATATAAAGCAACATTTGTTCTTTATGTACTTGATATTCCCTTAATTATCATTAATTTTGCACAAATCGCATTAAAGTCCTTCACTCTAAACCTTCAACAGCAATCTAATTTCACTTTGTTTTCTTAAAAACAAATTTCCCGCAATTTAAGAAGTTTTTTCAAAACTAATATAATTTTGTTAATTGATAATTTCATAAATGTATTTCAACATCGATACACAGAAACTACACATTCTCTCCTAACCAATAGTGAAAGTTGCATGTCAATACATGCATTCGTTACTGAGCTATAGCTAATTAAAAACTACTTTGTGTCAAAATATAGCGGCTACACGATTCTGTTCGCCTATTACCTGAAATGGAAAAAATGAAGAATTTTCATCTTCACCGAAACAGATAAATGCGATGATAGGTGTGTTACCAGATTGGTTAGAACTTGCGATGTGTGTTCTTCATCTTATTTTCCAAATTCTGAGCATAGTTTCAGGCGTCTCATAAAAACATGCCGTCCCATGAAAAACACAAAGTTGTAACGAATATCTTATCTAAATGTTGAGCCTAAAAGTATGCGCAGTATTTGTTAACTAAAAGTGAAACACAAATCGAAAGACTGGCAACAACTACTAAGCCGCTTTTGTTCTGGAAAGAAAACTTGAAATTTCTTCGTTTTTATTATTTTTTTGTGCTAATAGGCAAACAGAATCGCGTAGCAGCTATATTTTGATACAAGGTCAACTTCTAATGTTTATATCTCAGCAATGGATGCCTGTATTGGGGTGAAACTTTCACTGTTGGTTAGGGAAGAATTTGCAGTTTTTATGTGTATCGATATATAAGATTTTGTAAAATTAATAATTAAAACCAGTCGGGTTGGACCGACTATATAATACCCTTCACCACATTGGGTATATTCTACATATGTATCCTTACAATTGAACAATGACGTTCCCTCGAAGGAACATATTCATGTCCTTCTGCCACCTTTGATAAATTTAATTTCATTCGGGCATTTTTAGTGTTGTCTGCGTACCATGGGACAAATTTATGGAAACCGATTTATAGCAAAATAGATACACGCTATTCGGCACGCCGCACTCTTAAAAAAATAACTTAATACATTTAATTTCAAGCAGGCACCCGTTCGAAATACATTTGCACCAATTTCAACAAAACGCAATATCGTCATTCAAGTCTCAACTTGATACGTTGTGCGAAATTTCGTGTTCGTAAAATCGAACGAATACATATGCAAATGTGGGAGCTATATCGAAATTTGAACAGATTTTCCCGAAACTTAACACACATCACTCTAGACATTATTCAGTACGCTATGCCAAATTTCGTGCAAATAGGGACTTTGATACACCTTTTACATAAAATTGGACGAAAATATATATGGCAGCTATATCTAAATCTGAACCGATTTTCCCGAAACTTAACACACATCACTCTAGACTTAACTTAGTACGATATGTCGAATTTCGGGCAAATCGAAGGATATGTAGGGACTATGGTGCACTATTTACCTAAAATCGGACGAAAATATATATGTGAGCAATATCTAAATCTGAACCCATTTTCACAAAATTTAACACACATCACCATAGATTTAATTCAGTACGCTATGTCAAATTTCGTGAAAATCGAAAGATATATAGGGTCATTGGTGCACCATTTATATAAAATCGGACGAAAATATATATAGGAGCTATATCTAAATCTGAACCCATTATTCCCAATTTCATTAGGGTTCGTCATTGGGCCAATAGATAAGATTCATCAACGCCCAGACGAAACGGCTGAAGCTAGAATATTGAAATTCTTGGCGAGGGTCACTCATGGTCCAAATGTGACAGATAGGTTTTTGGAAATTCGTACTAGAACTGTACGAAAAGTATTAACTGTGATACCATTTGTATTTGGCGAACCGGTGGAGCTCGGAAATTTGGATTGGTGATCGTTGATGGAAATTCGAATTATAACTATCCGAAAAGTACAAAAATGTACTAAATTAGGTACAATTTCGTAGCATGTGAACGGATAGAGCTAAAAACATGAAATTTTGTGTGTGTGAATTAAGGTTGAGAAGTAGGATCCATTTAAGGAGATGGTTTTGAAAGCGTGTGCTCATGTGTGTACGAAAAGTACTATATGGTACTATATTTGGTGCAAATTTATTTTGAAAGTACAAATCGAGCTGGAATCCTGAAATTTGAAATTAACATTACCGTCGAAGTGTAGTAATATGTATGTAGTTTTGGAAATATTTTACTGAAGTGTACGAAAAGTACTAAATCGTAGAGCGGAAATAATGAAATTTGGTGTCAGAATCACTGTAAGGGTGTAGGATTAGGATCAGGGTTCAGTTTAAGCAATTTATATTCATGGGTACTAAATGGTACTAAATTTGGTACCATTTGAATTTTAGGCGAACCAATAGAGCTAGAATCATGAAATTAGAGTCATGATCACTGTTGAGATGTAAGATCGAAATATGTTGGAAGTTTTATAAATGTTTACTAATGTGTACTAAATTTGGTACAATTTGAATTGTAGGTAGACCGATGGAGTTGGAATCCTAAAACATGGATTTAGGATCTCTGTGGGGGTGTAGAATTGGGATATGTAGGAAGTTTTTGAAATTGGTACTACTGTGTACTAAATTTGGTACAAGTTGAATTGTAGGTGAACCGATAGAGTTGGAATCCCGAAACTTGGATTTAAGATCACTTTGGGTGTGTAGGTTTGGGGTATGTAGGAAGTTTTGGAAATTGGTAGTACTGTGTACTAAATTTGATACAATGTGAATTGTGGGTGGGCCGATAGAATTGGGGTCCTGAAACTTG